ATGGAGCTCCTGGAGAGAGTCCAGCGGAGGGCTACAAAGATGATGAGGGGACTGGAGCACCTCTCCTATGAAGAAAGGCTGAGGGAGCTGGGCCTGTTCAGCCTGGAGAAGAGAAGGCTGAGAGGGCATCTGATCAGTGTGTACAAGTATCTGAAGGGAGGGTGTCCAGAGGATGGGGCCAGGCTCTTCTCCATGGTGCCCAGGGACAGGACAAGAGGCAACGGGCACAAACTGAAACACAGGAAGGTCCATCTGAATATGAGGAAAATCTTCTTTCCTGTGAGGGTGACTGAGCCCTGGACCAGGTTGCCCAGAGAGGTTGTGGAGTCTCCTTCCCTGGAGATATTCAAAACCCGTCTGGATGTGATCCTGGTCAATGTGCTCTAGGTGACCCTGCTTGAGCAAGGGGGTTGGACTAGATGAGCTCTAGAGGTCCCTTCCAACCTCAACCGTTCTGTGATTCTGTGAAACATTACGGGTAAGAACAGCTGTGCTTTGTGGTGTGTAGTTGCCAAAATCAGTACTGCAAAGGCGACTTTCATCAGAAAGAATATTTGGGAAGGAGGAAGTGGTAAGAGCATATGGCTGACAAAAGAGACTCTTTGCTTCTAGTCTCTGAGCTCTCTTCCTACACAAATATGCTAACTATGCTATTGTAACGGCAAAGGACTACTCGCATGTTAAAGAAGAGATCAGTCCTGGCTCTGTGTGCCCCTACCACATCAGGTTCTTTAGGTGATGTCTTATTTGAGAAAACAACATGGTGGGAAAGAAGGGACGAGGACTTCTTCTTGTCCATCTCAGGCTGAAAAAGTTGGGATAAAACTAAAATGGTCTCAAAGGTCATACTGTTAGTAGTATTTTTGGTGGGCTGTACAAAGAAAATGCAACTACTCAAGCTATTCTGGCTTAACATGTGGTTTATTGTGAACAAGCAATAGGTTGAAATAGCATGAGCAGATAGGCAGCTATGAAGCAGAGCTGATCAGGCTTACATCTCCACAGGGGGCATCTGTGTTAGTGCCCACTAACTATAATTGTGGAATCAATGGTGATGTCAGATTACCACAGGCCTTCTTTTCCTTTCTTCCTGTCTTTTGTACCCCTGCTAAAGCTCAGTTCACCTCATTAATCTATTTTTCATCGGAAAATCAGCATTTATTTTACTTTTATGTTAGTTTATACCAGCATAGACATCATCTCCTTACACAACCCTTGTTACAGTTACCTGTGGACAGGCCAGGAGCTCAGGTTGCAATGCCTTATGCCATCAGTTAGGCAAAAGCAGTAAAGAAAGGGTGGTGGTCACGAAGAGAGCATGCTCTACTATGCCACTGAGTTTTGGCATTTCCAGCGGTTACGTAGCTGCTGAGTGAAGATTGCAACTTTTGACTTAGATGCCAAGAACAGGATTTAGGCTGACTTTGTGCACAGATTCATTTTGGCTTTGGCTACAAAAAGTCCATTTTTCCTATACATAAAATGCATCTCCTTATGTCTACGCAGCTTTATCAGTGAGCAGAAGAATCTGAAGGAGGATTTGATCTGGTGAGAACTACTGGACACACTTGGTGACACTTTAATCTTTGTTCTCAGGTGCACTTCATTAAAAATTAAAAATACCTACAATCCCTCTCATAATTTCTTTTCAGGAAACTATTGTTGTCCAAAATATTGAAAAATAAATACTTTTGAAGTGATTAAAAAAAAAAAAAAGACTTTCCAGGAGATATTACACATGGCAAATCTTTTCGTTACATATTCTAAAGGGGATATATAGGATTGCAGTTGAGAGGCTTTCCATGTTCTTCTGTCTACAGTTCTTTTTAATGATACATGTACAATTACTATAGTTAATTATTCTTCAATCAAAGAAATACAACCTATTGCACTTCAATTTCTAGTTCATTTAAACCAATTATGTTCCCTTCATCTTTTGTGTCTGAGCAATAGCTAGGTGGTATTTGTTCATCAGGACAGTGTTGAAGATTCTAGAGGCTCCTTTGCTTCTCTGAACCACAGTACCTGTTATTTTGATAACTCAGCAAGCATGTTGTCTGCATTGGAATTCAAAAGAAAATAAAAGCTAACATGCGAGAGATCAAAGTGGAATAAATAGAGCATGTCCTGCTCCTGTTTAATTTCTGTTTTAACATATATGTTACAGCCATTTTTCCTACTCTTCCTCCACATGATCACAAAGTAGAAATGAATGCCGCCTTCTTTATTGTAATGCAGAAGTACGGAGCTGTGGTTGATTATAAAAGGAAAACCTCAGTGATAAAAGTCATGCCACGGTTTTAAATTCAGGTCCCTCTACATCATTAAGCATCACTTCACAGGGACAGAGTGCCCATGATTTCTTGGAGGGAGCTACAAGACATGTAAAGGACAGTTTGTGAACCTTTATAACAGTGCAAGAGGAAACAGTTGCACTGAGTTCATCTTGCTGAGATAAAGAGCAATATCTGCCTTAAACTAAAGCAACCACAAGACAAGTCAGCTTCAAACCATCAGTGTGGCTCCTACAAATTTCTGAAGGTGAGACTGATGAAAGATTCCTCCTTGTAGAGGAACAGCATAAAAGACATGGGATCAAGGTCTTGTAATGTGGTGTTTGCTTTAATGGTAGAGATAGTTCTTGGCATAAAACACTGCTTTAAGAAAACCCAGAGCAAATTGGTACAAACAGATGAGGCAATCAGTTCTTCTGGGATTAAACAAAAGAAATTCAGAAACACACCTTGACCTTCCAGATAATGCTGCTTGCATTTTTGCTAGTGATCTGTAATTTGGCCAATATGGTTGGTGTCATATTCTAATAATTAACTACAATAACCATTAGCTCAGATTAACTGCAGCCTGATGTCTTCAAATGTAGCCTAGACATGACATTTCGGTGAGTTGTATTTTTAGGGGAAGACTGTAAAACTATTTTTTGTGTCATCATTTGGGATGATTTTATGACAAAGGTGAAATGTCTACCCAAAGTAAATATACTATTTTCATAACACGTGCTCAGTACTTTGAATGCAAACAAAAATGTTGAACATACATAAAATGTATT